TAAAGCATCTAACACGCCGCAGCAGGGAAATGATCAAGCCAGCCAGTAATGGCGACGGCTGCAGCTGGCCAACTGTTTAGTCACCTACTTTACGTCCATGACTCCGCAAGCAACCTTCCCTTCCTGGTTGACACCGGTGCCGAGGTAAGCGTTCTATCTAGACAAACGGAAAAACGCTACCTACTCCCTACCAGAATCACGCTTCAGGCGGCTAACAGCACTAAGATAACACGTAAGGCCAAAACCTGCGAATGCTTGACCTCGGACTCAGACGACCTTACCCGTTCGTCTTCCTCATCGCAGAGGTCCAACGTCCCATCATTGGCGTCGACTTTCTTACGGCCTGATGGTAGATCTGCGCTGCAGGAAACTCCGTGGTAGTCAGATATCTTACCGTCCCTGGTATAGTTGCCTCGATAAGCTCAATCGGACTCCGAATGTCGCGTGTCACCGACAGCGTATTCAGTGGATTGCTTCATCAATTTCCGGCTTTATATCAGTCATCTGAGGAATTCTCAGATCCAAAGCACCAGATTGTGCACTATGTCATTACTACCGGACCTTCTGTTGCTGTTCGACCTCGACGGTTGCTGCCCAACCAACTCGCGATAGCTAAGCCTGAAGTTCAGCATATGCTGAGTCACGGCATCATTTGACCGTCCAATTCCTCCACATGCCTTTTGGGTTGCGAAACGCTACGCAGACTTTCCAGCGGTTCAGCGACCAAGTCCTTATAGGGCTTAACTTTGTTCTCCTTTACATAGATGACATCCTAGTGGCTAGCTCGAATAGCGAAGACCTATCTGGCCTTCGCTTGATCTTCGAGAGCTTTGCCGAACAGTGTCAAGAACAACGTCGACAAATGCCTCTTTGGCCAGTCGCGTATTGATTTCCTTAGCCAACGAATAGACCGCGACGGCATCAGTCCGCTTGCTGAGAAAACGCAAGTCATTGGTTACCATTCTATGCCACAATCCTTGAAAAGTCTAAGTCGCTTTCTTGGAATGGTTGACTATTATGGCCGTTTTATTCCGGAGTTCTGCAGCCTTTGACAAAGTTGCCTCAGGGCGTGTCGTAAGTTCGAGCCAACGACTGAAGCAACCACAGACTTCGATAAGATCAAGGAAGCACTATCCAGTGCCACCGCGCTTAGTCATCTAAATACCGACGTCGGAACTTCCCTAGTTCTCAAAATCGACGCGTCGCAGACTGCTGTTGGGGCTGTAATACAGCAAGTAGTAAAAAGTCAGACCATGCCTCTATCCTCTCGTAAGCTGCAACACGCCCAAACGAGATATGGTACTTTCGGCCGCGAACTTTTAGCTATTCATCTGGTCGTCAAACATTCCTGACAACTGCTCGAAGGACGTCCGGTTATCGTTCTTACTGATCATAAACCGCTCGCTTTTGCTTTTCGTGGATCACCTGACCATTTTTCACCTCGCGAAACTATTCAACTCGACTATATTTCACAGTCGACTACTGATATTCGACACGTTGATGAAACCAGTAACGTCGTCGCCGACGCGACGTTCCGTTTCACGTCAGCCAATTAACCATGAAGACATCGCCGCTCATCAACAAGAAGATCCGGAGTTCCAGCAACTGAGGTTGAATTCATCTATCAAACTATCTCTCCTGCCTCTTGTCAACTCGAATTACAAAATTTACCGCGACATGTCCACAGGAAAACCTCGACCTTTGGTCCCGTAACAATATCGACGAATTGTATTTGATCACTTGCATTAAATTTCAAACCTGAGCATACGCGCTAGTACGAAGCTTACAACTGATCGCTATACCTGGCAAAACGTGTTCGGAGATCCGACAGTGGACAAATACTGCATCACTTGTCAGAATAGCAAAATTCAGTGCCACACCATTACCGTCCCCGGCACTTCCTCGTTGCCTGATGCCCGCATCAAACGTGTCCTCGACATCATTGGACCCCTTCCTCCATCCAACGGTTTTATCTATGTGTTGACATGTGTTGATCGATTCACGCGTTGGCCTCACGCAGTGCCACTACAGGTTGTTTCAGCCGAAACAGTCGCCAGACCATTCACTGAATTGTGGATATCCATGTTTGACACGCCTGCCACTGTCACCACGGATAAAGGTACACAGTACAGCTCTGCTCTGTTCCGTGACCTTAACCATACGCATGGTTGTTCACATATACGCACAACGGTTTACCGCCCCGCCGCTAACGGGCTAGTCAAACACTTCCACCGACAGCTCAAGGCTGCCCTTACTGCAACGCAGTTGAACGTTCAGTGATCCGAACGTCTACCGATCATTCTCCTTCGTATGCGTAACACCGTAAAAGAAGACTTCGGTTGCTGTCCAGCTGAACTAATCTTCGGCACAACAGACTTGTTAGCGGAATAGCACTAGATTCAAGAGTCAACGACGAAGTGGATTCTGTTTCGTAGGTTGCATGCTTGGAACCACACTACTACCGTTCGTCCAACTCCACTTCGACCTAACTCTCGAAGTCAATGGATTCACCCTGATTTGCGCACATGTCCTTTTGTCTTTGTGTGCGCCGACACCGTCCGTAAACCACTGACACCGCTTTACGAAGGTCCCTCGCTCGTAAGGAGAAATACTTCGTGTTGGACAAGAATGGTTGTGAAGATTCCGTTAGCATTGATAGTCTGACGCCTGCCTATATCGAACAGCAATCGCAACACGTGTTCCTGAAGACTCCACTACAAAGCACCCCCTCCCACTCAGCTAATGTGCGACATGCTCACCCCCGTCCACACCTGTCGCAAACCCCGATATACCTAAGCGACACGCTCTAGACGTAGCCGTTTTTCCTACCCGACTTGTGGTTTACGAAAGCCAGCGCCTATCGAGCGTTTGTCCGTTCGACTCAAGCGATAAGGAGTTCTGTAGCGTTTGTACATTTTTTCTTTACTACTTTATTATTCTTAGTACCTTCATAAATAGCCGTATCCAAGCTTCTTCTACCTGAAGCGTAATACCAAAGCTGGTAATGAAATACCTACCTTCTTTTCCCCAGAAAATGGCATTATGCATCATGCAGATGACGCAAAGACACAGCGCTTGGCCTTTCAGCAGTCGTCTTCTCGATTGAATAATAGCCTTGTATTTACCCCTCCCTCCACTCTAGCGCACTTTGAAATCAGCACTGTTTCAGTCACTGGAGTTAAATCCGAATACCTCACCGGGTCCAGATGACCATCACGGTTTCTAAAAACGGTAGCTGAGTACATCGCTGCATCACTTTGCCAAGTTTTTCGGCAATCTCTCGATGCAGGACGTCTCTAGCTTGCTTGGAAATTTGGTATCGTTAAGCCCATATACAAAGGTGGAATTCGACAGGATCCTGGGTACTATCGGCCGATTTGGGCGTAAAATCATAGAGAGAATTTTTAAGAGTCTTGGATCCCCATATTGATGACGTGAGCGTCATATCTCTTGCGCAGCATGGCTTCCGGAGTGCACGCTCGTGTGCCTCCAACCTGCTTGTGGTCAGAGAAAAATGGGCTAAGTCCTTGGATGCCGGCAACCGCCTGGACGCTATCTGTCGATTTCAGAAAAGCATTTGATAAAGTCCTACATGAATGGCTTCTCCTTAAACTTCAGGGAATCGGTGTTTCTGGGGAGATTCTCCCTTGGATCGCCCTTTTCGAATGGCCGTAAATGAAACTTACTTTGAGCCCGTCTTGATGACTAGTGGAGTTTCGCAAGGCACCATTCACGGTATTGAATTGTTCAAAATACTCATAAACAACCTCGCATCAGAGCTCCAAAGGGATTGATTGCTATATGCTGATGGTTTAAGGCTATGGATGGAGATGTTCGAAGTCGATGATGTTGACCGACTGCAAGCGACACTAGACCGGTTGTACAGCTGGGCAATGGAGTGGCAATTGCTTCTTAATTACGATAAATCCTGTCCTCCCTACCGGTGCTCCGAACCCATTTGGGGTTTATCACTTTGGTGGTTTCTTGCTCAGAAACGATGCTTGTAGGAAGAACCTTGTTGTACTTGTGTCTCTTGATTTGCGCACAACCCAGGATACTTTAAGGTGGGCAGCGGCTGCTAATAGGATGTTCTTTGCCATAAGATCTTTTTCCGCATAACTTGAGGTCTTCAGACTCTTTTTTACTTCCGATGTGTGCCCTATTCTCGAAGATGGTTCACCTGCGATTCATCCTCTTACAAAGACGGAACGTGTTCTCATAGAGAAGGTCCAACGGCGAGGATCGAAATCGATCTCAGCGATCCGGAATTTGTCCTACACCAACGACTCAGAACGGTGAACATGTTTTCCTTGGGTTATCGTCGTCGCAGTGGCGATCTGATATACACCAGACGCATACTGTGTGGGATTGGGAAGGATGTAAAGTTCTTTCAAGTGTTGATAGTTCGGAACGGGGTCACTCCTATAAACCGTTTAAGCCGAGGAGGTTCCGAGTTCCATCAAATATTACTTTGTCCACTAGTATGGCGAAGCACTGGAACAATTTACTTGAGCCAGTCGTCAGCGCAGTGAGGAAAGTTCTAAACGACTGTTGGAATCCTATCTGCTGTGTGAGCAAAAATCGCGTCGTTTCCGCTGCGATCGTGATGGTCCAGTTTGGAATGACGCTTTCAACGAGAAATGAGGGAGCTGACACAGGATCTCCTTCTGCTCTTCATTCCAGTGAACACCAATGAAGTACAAGATTGTATAGGAAGAGGACAGTCGACCTCTCCCAAACTTCCGAAGAGGTTTGGATTGGGACTATTAGTCTGACCTCTGACCATCGAGCTGTCTGGTATGAGTGGCTCTGTAGGCACTTAGTGCGCCACCCAGCGCAGCTCTATGGGTCGCGGGTACGCAAACCATCGCACCACGCTGCGATGGTAAAGACAGATATCCACCACAAGTCAAATTCCATGTATCAAAAAAAAATGGTAAGTACACGCCGAACGCACAAGCTACTACCGGAACCACAATGTTATATGCTGGATATCTCACCTGAACGAAAAAGACAACAAACGGCGTGCCGATGCGGCGCATTGGGAGAGGGCGAATGATCGGTCGATGTCCAATTGCAAATACGAAATTTCTAGAACACAGAAAAATTAACGAAGTAGGCTGTTCCGGACTGTTACGAGCTAACCAGGCTCCCCAAAAGGCAACACACCCATAATTCAGGGTACCGCATTTATACCTTTTCTAAATCAGTGTAACTCGTTTTCGTACTCAGAGACGCGAACAAACTGATTCCATAAAATGTGCAATTATATATACCAGAAAGAATGAATAACATTGTCAGACTGAAAACCTCGAACTGCCGATTGACGTAAAGTTTATGCTATGTCTAGACCTGCAAAGAGATTGCAATTTATAGATTCAGGTAAACGCAACCGAGCATACAATTCTTCCACATCCTTGTGTATATGATTTGTCCCTCAACTGTAAACGAATTTTTGTCAATATAAACGAGTACCTGAGTGGAACTGTTCTTAATGTTCTCGTTACCCAATAAAGCCCCACTTCCGTTCAAGTGCTATGTGTCAAACTGAAGCGCTGCTCACGTAGAAGCTTACTAGATCAAACAAATACAAGTGTACATTTAAGTTCAAGCGGGACTGCAACGGTAGGATCATCCCAGGAGTGTTCTTGCTTCGGCGGGCCGTTGAACCAGGAGTTGGCAGAATTTGAAATACTGATGGACATAAAAAAGGACCGCATCACACCACGTCCAACCAAATAATGCCCACGTGTCCTGCCCTAGCAGTCCCTGATGGACAATCTACGTGGTAGGAAAGATAAAAACTAAACGTAGAAGGCAAAAAGAGAAAGTGGAAAGAGTTATGCAAGCAGCATACCAAGTTATTTGAGTCCTTAAAAAAGAACTCTAAAATGAAGGTGAGTCAGATAGCATAAAAATTAAAGGTTTGACGTTGCCACGCATGTGCATCGAGCTGGCGCGCAAAACAATTTAAACGTAGGCTCCCTAACCACGTGATCTAGAAGCGAATTCCAGCGACCTATAACTCTGCGCGACAGACGAGTTGCCATCCTAATCCTATCAGACCGTGGTTTATGCAGTTTCAGTGGGTGACCGCGGATCTTACGTAAAGTAGCGGGACTAAATAGCCTTGACAAGTCCAGGCCGATGTTACTCGTCAAAATACGATAAGCGAGAATCAGGTTCACTCATATCCTCCGGTAGTACATCCCCAAACTAAGCAATCGTTCAGTATACGTCTGTCCTGGTGGACAATGGACGAACTGAGTGCCCACCCGTAACACACTCTTCAAACCCATTTTGTCCGGGACACGACATGGTGGACAAGCCTGGATACACTATTCCAGCTGGGGTCCGACGAATGGCGGGAATAGCTTCAAACCTAAATTGGCCGTCAGTTGCGGCGAATATAGCACATCATACGAAACCCAGAAAAGTATCCTTCTTCCAGTTGTCGACAGAATGAAATGCTGATGAGCGTACGACCACTAAATCAACCTGCAGTGACAACAGAGAGTTCACAACCACCGAGAACGTATCGGGTGCGAGGATAGCAGCTCCGATTCGGAGAGCAGAGCACTTGGCCCTGTTTATGGACATCAACCATATGGTACAGGTTACTCAAGGCCCTCTGGGTTGCCTCCAAACCTCCGGGATATTCACCATCTTTTAAACTTTAAGGTCGTTAGCGAAAATTAATGATGACACTCCTAGCTCTCCCGGTAAGTCGTTTACATAGACCGGGTACAACAATGACCCCTATACCGAACTCTGCGGAACGCCACTAAAGACAGCTTTCCCGAAAGAAATGCTACGCCACACCCGTACGCCGTAGCTTAGTCTGACATGAAATTCCCTTGCGGCATCCAGGGTGCGCAACACGAAGAAGGTTAAATCTTTTCAGGTGGTTCCCCACTGAACCCCTTATCAGCTTCACCCAGACCTTGTCTACTACGCTTGTCAAACTGACATGCCAGGAGTTCGCGAACAGAGCGCTGCCACCGCCCTTAAAAAGCAGACTGATGATTGCCTCCTTCCATTCCGAAGGTAGGATGCAGCTGTCAAGCGATCTTGAGAACACGCATGTTAAAGGACCAGTCTGCTCTGTGGCCAATGCATGCAACGGCTTCAGGTGAAATGAAGCCGGACCGGAAGCTCTAGAGGGAGTATAGCCTTGCAGTAGCTCGAAGACCTGAGTCTTCGTTATGTTAATCTCGGCTAAGCAAGAATGTTTTGGAAAGCTTGAAACCAATTGGACCTGTGGCAACGTGGTCCCACGAGCCAAGGCCCCAGTTTAATTGCCACTAAGTACACAAACCTTGCCATAGTCACTTTACGCGCGGCTCCCGTCTGCTGGCAATAACGCCGGTATAGACAGTTTTGCCTCGCTGCGCTTTTTAATATAAACAAAAGCTTCTTGGGATTAGCTGCGGCCGAGTCCGCTAAACCATGCTCGTACTGGAGACGAAGAGTCCCGAGAGGTTGCTTACATTTATATCTAATCTCTCGACAACTATCATAGGTGCTGGCTGATGGAGCTGCTTGATAGGTTCCCCAACATCTAGACAGTTTCTTCCGTAGGTACTTGCTTGTGGATCTGTCCAAAGAGGCTGTGCTTGTGAACCACTTTTCCTCCTGAGTGAAATATAGGGAGTGGAAAACTCCATAAGGTATGCCTTACATTTATCATCGGCCAACCGGACAGAGTCGCCTAGCGAGGCCTCACAATTCAGGGCTGATGCCGTAGCTCGCATCGCACTAAAGTCCGCCCACCAAGTATTCGGAAGTAACTCATCCGTGGTCTGTTGGTGTTTTGAAAGGGTTCACCGAAAGAATATACATGCGTGATCGCTGGACCCTATAGGTGCACCATATGAATATTCAGTCATCAACTCCAGGGACAGCGAAAATCAGAGCTGAGGTAGATGGTATTTGGTTGGCCATATACCCAGTGGAGAAGTCCACGAAGTCGTGTAAAGGCACCTGGATACTCAGCTCAAGAAAGTCTGCATCAAATGTTCCTGACGCCGAATTGCAAGTAAGAGCAGCCCAACCGGCTTCCGGTAGGTTGAACGCCCCTAGAGCTAAACACTTATGCGAGGACTGTGTGCGAAAAGTCAATTATTCCCTGAAGGGAATTCCAGGACCTGTATACCACTATAACTGTAAACTGGGTAGAGGAAGTTCACCAAAAAGCCGATAGGGCTTCAACTGGCTGGTTCGACGAATGGAATGTGCAGGTCCAAAACGCATCTAAGTTACGTCTCACAGGGCGGACGACGCGTCCGTCTTGAGGACGAAAGGAGCTGTCAGTCTTAAGTAGTGCTTAGCCAGGTAAATATCCATCACGGTCAGTGAAAACCGGAGACAACCACGTTTAAGTGAAAGCAGGTATGTCAGGAAGACATTTGTATACAAGTAGACCAGATTAGGGCACCTAATTCATTGACTACGAACGTTGCTAAGTAATAATTTAAGAAAGGCGGCACGACCATCACTGGTTCGTGCGCCATCTAGATGTGTTCTGATGGGGCGGAAAATAACTTCCGGCTGACAACCTGAAAATCCACTAGAAGAAGGCCTTGCTCACCAGCCGCACACCAAGTTTTGAGCTCTTTGATAGCCTTCATTTACTTCCATCTACCTGCCAGTGGAAGGTCCGTCTAAAAGCTGCCATCCATACCGTTAAGTTCAAATGCGAAGCGAGGCCGTCATTAGTGCTACTCAGGGGTAGAAAGGACCCCGCGAAGCAGTCGGGGACGCGGATATGGCATACCCAATCTGGGAAGCTTTCTGACAGTGACATCAGAGAAGACAGGCAGAAGCAGCTTGGTGACACACAGTTTGATCCAATTGATATCAGCTATGATGCATTCCCTTTGGACAATGTCCGCTGATTCAATAACGTTACGGAACATAACGCTACTATCAGTGAAAGAGGCGCCCCGGTGGGGAATGATTACCCCACGTGTTCTGGATACGACACTTACACCAGCTGTTTTCACCACTGGCGGTGGGACTGTCTCTGGTTCCGCAAATGACGTCGAAGCAACGGTATCGGATGTTTTCCGCCCTATTTCCGGCGCCTTATTAGCTCCTGGGGAAGATCTAGGCAGCTTCTTCCTTGGGCTCACGGGAGCAGGGGCCGTTGACCTTGCGCCGCACAGAGCAGTTACCAACACTTCGGCAGGACCGGTTGGTTCAGTGGCAGATAGAAGGTCAGCATATTCGGAAGTTTCTGTTGTGCAAAACCTTCGGATGAATTTACGGCTGATAAAGACTGCATATTTATCGATGCCGTGACAACTAATTCTCTGGGTTTAGTCGCGGGCTCCTGGTATTTTTGCACCCCGCGTTCTTCATGTCTACAGACCAAAGAAGAACAAAAACTCATTGGGCTTGATCTTTATATACTACCATCCTTTAACCAGTTGTGACTTCTCTGTCAGTGAGTTCACTATTAACGTCCTAGTTTGCATTATATGAGTTTTTGTAACTTTAAATTTGGCTGCTATTTAGCACTATGCATACCGCATATTTATATGGTCGTTGGGTAGCAAGTTCAGGTTCATGTTCAAGTGGGAGCAAAACGGTGGGATGTATCACGTAAGTGTTCCTTCTTGAATGCTTCGGTAATCCAGGATTTGCCAGCGTTTCTCCAACCACATCATGGATCTAAAACGAAAATGCCGGCCTAATGCCCCACGTGCGAGCCTTCGCAAATTGGCCCATTGAACTCATTTTCTTCCAGGATTCATTGCCATATTAATTACTTTTGTCGCTTAAGAGACTTTCGAACTTCGGTGTAGACTGCTCTATCTCACTTACGTTAGCGCAGCTCCACCATGCTGGTTGTTCAGTGACCTTCCAACCAACCGTTTCATAGGTAAACATATTTCTCAACTTGCTAGTGTCGTCGAACCCTGGTGGGAAAATTACGACTTGCAGGTATTCAAAACTGCCCAACATAGCCCTATTAATGGATATATTCGGGTGTTGCTCTTCCTGACCCTGGCAAACCATGACCGCGGGTTCGTCTTGGTCTATGCATATTAGGTGGTGATAGTCTTAGATTGGGTGGAACTCAGAGCTTAATACTGCATGGCTGACGCCCTGAACACCATGCTACTGAGATCCGCGATCAACGCTTGGCACAGCGGAAAGTAATTCAAAGCGGAATTTAGTGAGCATGTTGTGTGGTTGGGTTGCGACTGGCAA